ACGAAAATGAAAGAAATTTGTGGCGAGATAATTAAAGTGACGTCATGAACACATGTTAGCCACTATAGTCTATTCATTTACAGCTGATCTAAGGTAATGAATCATGGAGATAATTAATCGATCAATCGAAATCGACCCTTAAGGATGTATCGCTAAGTACGAATAGAGTTTTCTCAGTGATGAATTTCATCATGTCGGCATAAAAAGTATTCAGCATTACTCTGAATTGAAGATTTTTCGTAGGATTTTCAGATTCTTGCTTTGCATCGCATTTTGTATACGAGTGCAACTCGGATAACATCTATTTCTATCAGAGTTTCTTTTGAAACACGAAATAATAACGTGTAGTTTTGAGCACAATTTTAACAATTAAAAACAATATGGTAATTCTTGATTCATATATATTCTCATGCATAGATAGGCTTATGAGGATATGAGACATTGACACCATTATGAAATGAATTTCTCGATGTATGAAGACCATTCTATTTTGATTGTAGAAAAGAGGAAAATAGGTGAGTTCAATATGCTTGAATGAAAATGCTATGAATAGTAATTGATATGTTACATGGAAAAAATTACTAAGAACAAACACCTTTTGATTTTTCAAAATGAATAATTAGATAATTTGCTAGTCTTTTTTTGTTTTTTTCTCTTTTGATAAAAAATGCTTCCTAATTAATAGCGTTTTAGTGCATGAGCGCACTTGGGAAAAAAGCTTTCGAAAGAAAAAAGCAGATCGATAAAGAATGCTTTAATTGTATGAATTATCATTTACTAAAATCTTGATTTTTTTCTACATGCTTTTTCATGTTATCTTTTCTAAACGAAATATTAATCAATAGCAAAGACTACGAAAAGCATACTGCTCTATTAGTTTGTTTTTGAATGATGGATGCTTCGTTGTGTATTGAACAAATTTTCTATTGTTTTTAGATGAATTATTTTGTAGATATTGGCGAAGTCTATTAAATATAAATATGGAAATAATCAACGAAACAATAGCGAGTCATTTAATTGACGAACAGGATTTTTCCCTGTATGCTGGTCGAGTTCTACTTGTATTTTACTGTCTTATTTTTATTTTTGGTTTGATCGGTAATTTTAAATAAATTTTATTTAACACACATATATATATATATATACATATGTATTCATGCTTTTATTTTGTGTTTTGTACCAGGTAATTCAATGGTAATTGATGTTGCTATTCGGAAGAAAAATTATCGAAATGTAACGAATTGTTACGTTATTAATTTGGCAATAGCTGATCTTTTATTTTTAACACTTTCAATTCCATATACCACATATTTAGGTGTGCAAAATACATATCCATTCGGTGATACTATCTGCAAAATACACACATACCTTGCTTATGTAAGTTCATAATAAAGTCTTAGAAAACTATAAATTAATTTTCACCTTAGGGATTTCTACAAGCTACCTGTAATATACTAGCTGTAATGAGCATTGATCGATTTCTATATATTGTAAGACCAAAATCCAAACTTGGGTGGCGTACACCGCGCAATGCGTTTATAATATGTATTTTCATCTGGGCTTGTAAGAAACAGATTTTCATTCTTATAATACACCTATAATGAAATTTTTGTTTTTGTTTTTCAACATAGTTTCTTTAATTCTAATTATTCCTTATCATACCGTATCACGTGTATTAACACCAGATTATACTGATTGTGGACTGAATGAACATCAAAATTTGGTTGTTTGCTTTTTCCCATTCTGTTCTTATTATGCTATTCCACTTCTTGTGATTATTGTGTGTTATACGAATTTGGCACTGCATGTAATCAGAACAAGTCGCAAAATGGCTGGTCACGTGAATACTGTATGAAACTACGAAATATTTTCAAGAGAGAGCAGTTGAAATATTATTTATTATTGTTTTTGTTTTTCGTAGAAAAGTTTTCATCAAACAACACAATTGAAACAGCGACGAGTAACACGAATGGTAAGATAGAATTATCAGATTAGTAGAAAGAACTAAAACCTCTTTAGCTTGAAAGAAAAACAAATATCATTAGGATATTTTACAACAGATTGGCAATATATCAAAAAGAATTTTATACAATCCAAATTCAATTTTTTAATCATAAAATTTAATTTGTACATAGACATGTAAATAGACAAGAGCTACTTCTTGGCCAAGTTTCATACAATTATGATAGATCAATAAAGGATACTTAGTATTTCTATTGAAGATGCCTAGTTTTGTAGTATGATATGCAAAAAGGTTTTAGTAGTATCCAAAGTTGGAGAAACTCTCGAGAGCTGTTTGATAGCTTTTTAAACCGACAATGAGTCTTTGCATCCGTTACAAACAATATTTTAATTTTATTTAACTAACTGAACTTCTATAGAACACTAATAAACGAACATAATTTCCAGAGACATCAGAAAGCATCCTGGATTTTAATTGGCTGATATCTTGAGAAACGAAATCATTGAATATCAGTCTGTACGTGCAAAATTGAGTAGAGAAGATGGCTATGTCGTAAAGAATAACGAGTCTTTTTTGTGCTTAAATATAATCATGGAGGATTGTTTCTGTCACGCAAGACAAGAGCAGTGCGCATATCTTTTTAGTTATTTGAAAATACGAACGACACTGAGATTTTAATTGCAAATTACGTCTAGTGTCATTAAGATAAACGAAAAGAGATCGACTGTTGTTTACGCAATATTTGCATCGTAGAAGAGTTACGGGAGACCATAAAGTCATGTTAACAGAAGTGTGATGAAGCTAGTTGGATGCTTAATTTCTAAAAAGCACACAGTCATTGAAAAGTTCTCGCAATGTAGTAAAGTGAAATTCGTATGAGACACCCGTGGATGTATCCTAGCATGTTGCACTTAGTTGTTGTAAGTTAAAATCATTAAGGTTTACCAGTTAGATATTTTCACAGCAGGTTGAAATGAGAGTTAACAGCTCTTCGAAATAATTATCATTCGTAACATGAAGAAATCGGATTGAGAAGAAAAGAATTTCCGGCGGTCGAAGAAAAGGCAACACTATGGCGGTACTACAGTCCAAGAACGTTCAAAATGAGATGAAAGAAATTCAACCTTTTCTTCTTCTATTCGATATCGGTAGAAATGTTTCCTTCAACTGATTTCTGCTGAAAAAAAACACACTTAGGATCAATTTATCAGTCGATACAAAAATCAAAGTCTGTTACTGAGTTATAATAATTGATTGTCGACTATTTAAAAGTTCTTTAAAGTGACACTACTCTTTCTAGCAGATGTCAGCATGCTTTTCAGTAAAAATCAACTTAGTCAAATGGAAAATGGAAAATGGAAAATGGAAAATGGAAAATGGAAAATGCCGATTGTTATAATTTAACTATCGGCAATGTCAGCTGTTGTCAATCTTCATTTCCATAATGGAAACAACTATCGGCGATATTTTTGAGATAATACCAGCAGTAATTTTCTTCTGATAATTAAAAAAACTCTCTCGAAGGAATAATGTGACCGATGCAATAGAGATCTTTGGATTACTTATTTTTTTCAATAATGGAAACTTTAATTAGGATATACTTTTAGAAATATGTCGCATATGCAGGTTTTGAACCTCAAAATGTCAAAAGATTATAATTAACTTTATTATGAAGCTTTTGACGTCTTCAAACTCATAAGTTTTATATTAAAAATAGTTTGATTTTTTTCTAAAAAACCTTGCCAATTAGAATTTATGAGACGAAATCGATCACAATCAACTAGCATACGCCTAACATTGTGCTGCTCAATATACGTCGTAGCAGAAGCAGCAGAATCCTGGACTGTTGAATGGATTTTTATAAGTATATGAATGTATCTATAATCGATAATCAGAAAGAATAAACGTAGATAGTCGATACTGGATAACGACATTCGTGATCTCAATGAAATTCAAATCATATTGATGATCTATAATTCAGCAATGAGATATAGAATCTTTTGCAGAAATATTATGAACTTAAACATCAGTGCAATTTCACAATGTGTTTCGCTTTGATGTTCAGACATATTTACGTTAACTGTTAACTAATGCAATCAAGATGCGATTTTCATAGAAAAGTTTAAACTTGTAATGAGTTATAGAAAGATGCGGAAGATCGTTTTGTCGACAAAACTATCATATTTATCTTCACAGTTAGAGACTTTAACCATTAGATTATTTAAGTTTTTGTGACAATATTTTTAGAAGTCTTCTGAAGTTCATTTAATATAAAAAAAACAAAAACAAGGACTAACGAATCTGCATGGTTCATTGTGACATTAGACTCAAAAGATTTAAAATGTTGTAACAAATTGGATGAATAATTCTATTAGATAAAATCGGAGAACGCTATCACTAAATAGATTATATTGTGAAAAGAGTTTTTCTATAAAAACTTCTTCGAAAGCGAAAGAATTTCAGTTAAAGTTTTAAAAGCACAAGGATCTTCTATAAGAATATCAAACATAATGACAATACTTAAAAAAAAGTCTGGTTTAACCAGTTTATGTGAATTATTCAAAAACGATGCAAAATATTGACAAATATTTTTTTCTCTTGTTGTTTATTATGATCCATTGAAAGTCTCAATCCGAAACGATGCTTTCATCATACGATAGCAGATTTATCATAGACTCCTTAATTTTATTTTTACAAAGTAAATACTTTTCATTCTAATGAAAGATTATTAATCTTTCTTATATAAATAGCTTTGTCATTTTTGTAGGTTATTGTTGTAACATTAGCATTTGCTGTTTGTTGGTTACCAATTCATATTCTTGAATTAACAAAATGTGGTAACTCATCATACCTCAATTATCTTATTGACTTTTATCCAAAATCTCTTTATTCAATACGCGCATTTACACATGCATTGGCTTACTTTAATTCATGTTTAAACCCTTATTTATATGCTATATTAAATCGTAATTTTTGTATTGATTTTGTCGATATGGCACCATCATGGATGTCCTGTTGTAAAAAGGTCGAAACAAATGAATCTGAAAATTTTTCTCTAAGTACAAAATATTTAACAACAGCACCAAATCAAAGTATTATTTTAAAACACAATCACGAGCATGATGAAGATAAAATCGATGATCATGAATCTAAACTAATAACAAATGATGCCAGCTGTCAAGTTGAATTACTTAGAAAAAAAGTTAATATAATACAATCAAAATAATTCTTATGATTATTAGAAAACAAAACTAATTTCTAATGTATTAAGTTTTTCTTTTTCTTATTTTTTTTGTTTTCTTTATTATATTCAAACAAATAAGATAAAGCAAAAACGAATTATCTTTTTTATGAGCCTCATCAAGTAGCAGTCTTTATCAATAGACAATATATTATACAATTATCACAGGTGCATCTATATTGTCAATATGGAATTAAAACAAAATGAGAAAAAAAAGAACGCCGACCAGCATAAGTTGAGTAAGCAGTGAACATTAGAAAGAATTGAGAACATTGTTCATCCAAATTGATTATAGAGAATACGAAGAAACAAAGAAGAAAAAGTTTAAATCAAAATATCATAGAAAAAAGTTGTTTGCTGATGTCATTTATCTGCTGCAGACAAAATCATCAATCATCAGCTCGTTGTAAAACAGAAAGAAAAAAAGAAACTGTGATTTATGATAAATACTCTTTATCATAATCAGCATGGTTCAGTTCATGCCAACGACGATGGTGATTTTGTTTTGAATAACGAAGAGATACTAGATGACCGACTTCATCCATTGATCTCAATGCCTAATTCACAAAAACAAAAACAAAAACAAAAGTGAGAGTATAATAGGAAAAAGAGAAAGCGTTTGTTCAATTACATGATCAAGCATCTTTTTTGTATGGCCAGCTGATATGCAAAACCGTACACGTGATTCAGTTAATGCAGTCGCTGGAAAACCAACAGTAACAACAGCACAACCACGTTTTAACATTTCTCGGTTAACCGCTCTTTAAAAAAGAAATCAAAATAATAATAGAAAATTATTTTTCTAACTACTTCTTTACGCTATTTTAGCTGGCATAAAAATCATCACGGGTACAACAGGTGAATTGTCATTACCATAAACAATAAAACCCATATCAACGAGTTGCCGACGAAAATAACGAACATTACAAGCTAATTGTTGAATACGTTTTTGACCTTAAATATTTTTGTTGCATTTGGATCTATTGACAATATCAAAATCTCTTACCATCATTAGTACCATCGCGACCCATAATTATACTCAATGCAGATATTATTTGATGAACAATTGGTGCTGACATACTCGATGAATAACATGCAGAATGAGAATAAACACGAATATGATCAATCAGCGTCTAGCAATTTTGTTTTAGTAGAAGAAAGAAATATCATTCATGTTAAATTCTACCTTTTTTCCAGCAAGATAACCACCAGCTGATCCAAAACTTTTCGTGAATGTACCCATATGTATATCAATATCATTGGGATTAACTTTCCAATAATCAACGACACCACGACCACGTGGACCGATGGCACCAATAGAGTGTGCTTCGTCAACATATAAATAAGCTTTGTATTTTTTCTTTAATCCGATGATTTCCGGTAATTTACATAATGAACCTTCCATACTAAAAAATAAAAGCAAATAATAACCAAGTCATTGTGGTCAATAACAGTAATAATTAAATAGACCTGTATACACCTTCAACAATAATTAAAATTTTTTTCCATGGTCGACATGTCCGAGGTTGACCATGAATAATAGCGTCACGTAATTTTGATTCTAAATCTTGGATATCTATGATAAAGATAAAAGCAATTAATACATTCAGTTAGTTCATCGTCGATGAATTTAACTAAATAGCTCATAATGGAAATATAAAAATTAAAGTAACCGACTCAATATTAATAATTATGATCAACTAATGTATAAGAGAGTCATTTTTCTATTCATCTGATATAATTTATAAAATTGAATTTATTCTTGCGAACGAATGATGTCTCAAGACAGATGAAATTCAGAGAAGAAAAATAAAATATACTTTTCTTTCGAACGGAAAATGACAAAAAAACTTTTTAACTCGACTTTTCCAGTTGCGTCGAATAGCCTTCTATCCAAACTGAACTAGCACTATTGAATAAATCGGATGTTTTCATTAACTATAAAATTTGATTAAGTTTCTATGTATAACTATATAAAAGTTTTCTTCAATAGTAATATAAGTTGACTTCCATAGTAAATCACTCGTGCTGCAAAACTAATGTGTATTTCATAGTTCAGTTGATATTTTTTTGAATAATCGGATATTAAAAAAGAAAAAGAAACCGAAAAATTCTTATCATAAACGAAAGAGGATTTGTTTTGTATTAAAATATTTACTATTATGATCGAATGTATGTACTGCGGCGCCAGATAAACGAGCACCAAGTATAAGTGACGTATGATTTAGTCTATCACTGAGTATTAAATCCCCCTAATAGAGAAAATAAGTTATACTAAAATATTTTCGAATGAAAAATTAAACACAAATCAATTTACTTTTCCAGCTAATGTTGGAATGTTTAGTGCATTTGTTGCAAAGCCCATACCAAAAGCAATACAATCTTCCAGGTTTAAATATTCAGCCATCAAACATTCAAGTTCTTTCATATATTGTTGATTGCCCAATTCATGTCGAGTACTAGTTGTCGTAACACCATACGTTTCTATAGATTTAATTGCTTGTTCTGAACATGGTCCTTGGTTTTCCGCAAAACCCAAATAATTATATGAGCCCAGATTAATGGACGGAAGTTTTTTACCACTAAATCTATTAAAAATAAATAAAAATAAGTTTTTAAAAAAAGCAACGAAAAAAAGAATTTTCATTTTCTTACTTAAATGTCCAATTGAAATCATCTGAAAGACGTTCCATAACTTCAACTTTAGCTCCAGCAACGCTTGCTATCGGTTGATTAAATACATCACGTATACGTGTATATAAATTTCGTGTATAAAAACATTCATAACTTTGATAAAGTGGTACAAAATCCTATGAAATAAAATCAAAGGATAATTGTTTTCCTGTATTACTTTTATTGGGTAAATCACAAATCCAACATACTTTTGGGTTAGGATCATTGGCCGTTTTTTTCTCTTCGAAGCCGATATTACGAAGAAAATCTCGTAGCCAACCAAGTGCGCTGAGAATGGCATAACCAAGAACGGTAACCACAGCAGCCCATGTTGGTGTTTCTTCAAAATCTGCATAACTGTGAAATAGTGATTCTTGTTGATTAAAATGCTTTTAAGTAGAAAAGCAACAACCATTTTTCAATAAGCAAGACAATGAAAATTATTTACTTTTACTTTTGAATTTGATGACAAGGATTTGTTCATTTTTTTCTCCAAGCCTTGATCAACATTATCGTTTACTGGCATCTAGAAAAATAAATTTACGCTACTTTGCTTTTTATGGTTGTATAAATAGAAATACAAAAAGGTACGATTGAAAAAAAAACGAAATAGAAAGACAATACAAAAACTAAGAAAATTTGTTATCATGGTTAAAACATACATTTTCATTCATTAAGTGAATTCATCAGCATGCTCAATACAATGAACGTCAGTAATATAGAACAACTATTTGCATAATGCGTGCAATACTACACACATCCGTCTTTTGAAGTCAGAAACAGAACGCAAAAAAAATCTCCTCTGAAGGTTTAAATAATAGAAGCGAACATCGTCAAGTGTAGTAGTAGAACTAATGTTACCAACTCATGGCATAGTTACAACCGTTTTCTTCGCTTTCTTTTCCCATTTTATGGGCATCATCAACTCTTTTGTTGCAAACATTTAAATATATATATATATATATATTTATTTATTTTTCTATTTACAAATCAGATACCCACTCTGTGTCCTTTAAGTAAACTGTATTCAAAACACACTATATATTAACTCTACTGAGACTCAACTAAATCACTCGAAAAACATAGCATTCTGCATCAATAACTTACTTTATCGGTCTAGTGTCATTGCCTAAGTTATGTTTTTATAAGGTATAAACATGCATGTATAGAGAAAAAGAAAAGAAATATGAGTGTAACGAAACGTGACCGTAAGCAGTCATCGTTGGCTTATGTTAGGTGACACATTGGATGTTTGATTGAATCAAACATATTTTATATACGTGCATACTATCGGTTGCTAATGCATGCAAAAAAAATAGCGCGCGTAGGCAAAAGAAAAAGGAGAGAAGAGAAGTAGGAAGGAGATGGAGAAGGGCGACGACGAAACGAAAGAAAGAAAAATTGAAAGAAAATTTATAAGTTTATGATCCATTTAGTTACTAATGTACTTTAGAGAGACGATATCTCTCTGTCTGGAATGTTTAATAAATTGTTACTAAAAAGAATAACTTATCAACATAAACAAAATGAATAATTGACTTTCATGCAACAAATTTTGGTTCTAGAAATCAAGAATATTCTGTTTTTGTATTTAAAAGAACTAATAAAATTTATCTAATTCATCTCAATCTAATATATATATATATATATGTATATATACTTTTAAACGGAAAGGTTTGCAATCAAAATTCAATGCAAAACTTTTATTCTTCTATTTCTATTCATAATATACCGGAGAAGCAAGAAGTAAATAGAAACATTCATGGATGTAAAAAAGCATCCAGAGAGCAATAGTTTTAACATTTATGTCATTTCTTTTTAAAGGAGAAAGAAAAAGAGAGATTGGATTACTTTTTATTATAACAACAACGAATGAAAAAAGTAAACTATTGGAAAACTTTTTTTGGGTCAGAGAACTTTTTTCTTTTTCCTACCATAAATAAATGAAAGTCGCCAGTTCATCATAAACGCTTTCTTTTTTATCTTTATAATAGTAAGCATTAGTAATCTAATGCAAATTGTCATTTCAGTTCTTTAAATAGAACGAGATTATAATTTTTAAGCAAAAAGCCGATTAAACAAATTCAAATGTTATAGATATCAAATCTTCCTAATATTTTTCAATATCATTGAACAATATTGCATACTACGAAGGGTTTGGTGGAAAACGTCGAAAAGGAAAATGTCGAAAAAAAGACAAAGAAAATATCCATTATGGAAGTTTTCTTTGTCTTTTTTCGACGTTTTCCTTTTCGGCGTTTTCCACCTAACCGCCCACTACGAAATTCAGATATAAATTATTAATAAAACATAGCAGTAATAATTAATCATATACAATATTCTAAGTTAAACATGAATCATACGGTTTGATTCCGATTAAGGTGAATCGCTGTGTTTATTAAAAGTAACTGAGCTCATGATTTCATATACTCGAATTTTTCGCTTTCTATTTTTCATACAAAATACATGATGTTAAACATGCCAATAATTTAAAAGAAAAAGAGAATTAATTTCACCATCATGTGGACCGGTGTTTTTAGTTACTTATAAATAGGATCAGAATTGACTACCTACGTGATTATTTTTATTAATGCTATGTCATTCTCTTTTCAACACATAACTTTCTAGTATAGCTAAAGTTTAAATATGACTACAGCATAGATTGCTTGGGAGGATATTAAAGTTTCAATAAAACCGTTTAGGGACAATAATATAATATTGACATGCTAAGTTTTATTTGGTTAATATCATGTGAAGTGAAAGCAAAAAAAGAAGCTTAGAAATATAATATTCTTGACTTTTTCCTTCAGAGTAACAAGTATAATAAGTTCTAAGAAAGATTTGACTAGCTAAAAGGATTTTCTACTAGAGAAAGTAGCTGTCAGATTCTTATTAACAAATGCGATCCAAATATGAATGCACTAGCAAGGCAGACTCAAAATTTGTTGCCTGGATTATATGAAGAAGAAAAAAAAAACATTTTACCAATGATCTCATCTAACAGAGAAAAACATATGAATAAAATAAAAGTTCCTTGAATTCTCTATGATTTTATCTCGAACAAATGACATTCAGTCTACGATTACTCGCAACGTTTAAAATAAAAATATAAAGGAAATTCATGAAAATTTTTTGTCAAACTAACACAAAACTGAAGACTTTTCAAGTCTATCTTACGATGATTGTCATTCGTTGAAAGTACATCATGAAGAACTTGTGAATGCTTAATTTTATTCAGAAATGTTTTCTCTAAATGATGAATTTATTTAGAAAAGCTGTTTTTGAGAGCCTTGCTTCCCTAGAGACTCTGCTCCATAGAAATGTTTTCATTGGTATCTAATAAGTACTTGACGTAGACAAAGGCTACTAAGATTTTCTTTTTCTACTTTGCTGTAAATATTACTGTTAAGGAGAAAAATAAGAAAAGCTTGAGATCTTATAACGTAAAGATTTGCTCAGTCAATAATGGGTATATTCAAACGTGTATAAATCACGTCTGTAGTAAGATTGAAATAAGCTCATTGGTTATAAGTCTCCTTTTTTTGTTGATTTAGTTTATCTAATCTCAACGAATGCCGATTTATTGACAAATATTCATTGAATATTTTTTTTTCTTTTTTTAACGAAATTCATATGAGTATCGTTAATTGTTTACAAAAGAAAATACTTCGTATTGCATTGGCTTGTATAAAAATACGAATTGAATAAATGTGCGAATACTTTTATGTTATACTACAACAAGACTATTTTCTTGAGACAATAACCGAAAGTCTTACCCGTATGAATGATCACTGATCAATTGAAGGGCTATTATGTAATTCAATCTATCAGAAAAAAAACGAAATCTTATCCATTTACTTTGTAACTAAAAACATATCAACGCAAATCTTTATTTTTAGATTTTGTTTTGATGTACCCGTTGATAGTCGAGAATAAAATACATAAATTACAATCTATCATGCACGACTAATATAAACTTAAAGTGCTATAACCTTAATAGATTCAACACGATCGAACATTTCAATCTAACATAAAATGATATACATTATTAAATATTTGTCGCAAAATCTTACATATTCTTATAACAAAATATTTCTAATAATTACTAGTTTTACAAATGAAAATAACTTCGCTTCAGCTTACGTCTAAGGATAAATGAAAAATATTTTTCAAACCCTTCGAATCACGATTTAATGGTTCGCATATGATCTATTAGATATTTTCATGGGTTATAGTTTCTGCCTTGGCTTAATTGAGAAGACTGTAATATACGTATGATATCGATTGCATTCATAATTACCTAGACACTAACTAACATGGGATAACCCATGCTTGAATTTGTGTGCGTCGATCAGCCCAGAGTATACAATAAAAAAGCAAAAATACTAAATAAATAAAGGCCTTTATTTTTTGTTATTCAACGCTTGATTAAGCAGGCAACGTTTTTCTTCGAGAAAAATATTTACCTGCAGCCTTGTATTTTTGTGATTGAGAATAGCAAGGCTTGTGCAAATATCATTAATGTTACCTGCAATGATCGAGGGGGCTCGATTTGATCTAAAGCGTGGATGAATCATTTTATTCGCATGCATTCAAATTATTATGCATCATTAACAAAATAGATAATATTTCGATCAGCAAAAAAATTAGTAGCAGATACAAATTGTTTTCATAGACTTTACTTTCAAAAAAATAAGATTCTGATTCATTTTAATTAAAATAAGATTAACTGTGAGCCAACGACGAAACTATTTAAAAAAAGGAATCAACACATGATATTTGATGAATAGTATCAAAGTATTTGAATGATTCATGATCTGTTATTCTATAGAAAATAAAACAGTTTCTGTTGTATATTAATATATGTCTCGAATAAGTATTCATTTCTTTTTTTCATATAAATAAGTCAAATTGTACTCATTCTTTAATGTTACAATCTTCAATGAAGAATAAAAATATGAAGAAGAAAAGGATTGCTTTTTGAAATAGAACAATCGAGAAAACATTTTTATTCATTGAAAAAGTTTTTAATTATCAATGAAAGAATTCATCCTTTTAGATCTTTGATCGTTTCAAAGAATGTTTTATCTAGAGTAAGCCTGCTAAATCTGAAGACACTGGACTGTCATAAGATTCAGCTCATACGTCGATCTTAACAATGTTCGATTGTTCTGAAAGGTTCTTTTGAATATGATTGTTACTTCGTAAAATAATCAAGAAATCTTTCTATTGCTGTGATAGATAAAGATTAGAACTTTAACTCTTCGAATCATTTCAAATATCAAGAAGAAATTCTGCTTCTCATAGATTCATTCAATACTACATTCTGACAACTAATTGTCATCCTAAAATGATAAGAGACAGAATTGAATTGACTTAAATTGCTTTGATATGCCTCACTAAAATTATATACGTGAAAAAACTGAGTGGTGTCACATATCCAAGATTTTGGAGATGCTATCACATCTCCCACAGGAGATGAGGCCATTCACCACTAAATATGTAAGATCTCCTTTAGAGATGCGCATCCCCCACGCCCACACCCGCATCTCCAAAATTTTGGATATGTGACACTGCTGAAAAAAACTTCGTGCTTATTTGAGTTTTGACAACGCAGAGACTTTCTCCAGTAAACTAACTCTGGTGCATTGAACAAATGACTTTTTTTATTAATATTTATCAAAGCAATACTCATAAAACAGTAAATAATCCACCAACTATATTTTTATTTACAACAGCATTCAGCTAGTCATATATATATATATATATATATATATGTAGTAGACTTAATATGCATATACTTTTATGTATTGCAGAAAAATGAGAAAAAATAAATGATTTTTGTTATGCACATTAGAAAAAGTAATGAATGTTGACGACAAAAATATCTAAAATTGTTTTGAAGCTTACAGTGATCATCTATTCTTTTCTTTTCTAATTTGATCACAGTGAGCTGATCAGTTTATAATGAATAACTTTTATTTAAAATATTGTAGCTATTTTATCTACCATTGTAAAATAAGACAATAATTTAGTTTTGATTGTTTACTAAAAACTTTTATATATCAGAGAAGATAACAAATATTGCATCAACATTACAATCTGTGTAAATATTTGACACCGCAACAAATGATCAAACTATTTTTTCATAAAACTGTTTCGATGTTGTAATAATATTCTTTTTTTTTCTTCTTCTAAAATAATCGATGTATAGAATAACTATAGAATGAGTACAATATCAAACGAGAAACCTGTAGCAAGCATATATCAAGAAAAGTTACACAAGAAACATTCGTAAGAAAGTTCGAGCATAGTATTTTGTCCGCAAATAATTCTTTTTCTTCTAAGCACACTGAATATTAGATGTCGACACATAACATCAACTTATATATTTTGATGAAATCCAATTGGTTATTCAATTTTTGTGTCGTTGTTACTACATTTGTTGTGGGGATGAAGACAACAAGAAACATGATAATGATTTTTCGTTTTGCGTATGTATTTTATAAATCATGAATACTAGCAGCATTTTAGCTGAGTCATTCTTTGTAAAAAAAACAAATGTCAATTATTTATCCTCTTATTCATCGAAATATTTCAAACTCTACGTGTAACGAATACATTTTGTATTGAAGATTTATATGAAATGACGAACGGCGCATATTCGTTATCATTTACAATGTTAAAATATTTATATTTTAGTTATTTGAACTGAAAAGCAATGAAGCCTCCCGCTCACATTTATAATTCTTGAACTGATGCAATAGAATAGCTGATAAAAAAACAAGTAGAAAGAGCGAAGGTTGTGAGATAGTTAGACAATGAAGAAGTACTATAATGATAAAAAAAATTATATCTATTCTTCATATATCCACATTATCTTTTTCTTTTTCTTTACATAATATTTAAAAAAGGAAAAAAGGAGCTTGTTGTTTTATTAAAATTTTATTCTTATTTACGTTTCTTTTTTCAGATCGTAAGAAGGAAAATCTTCACAATGGCAAGAACCAGTCGTCATGAGAAAAAAAAGACATTTTCCAATATTGGTGAGACAACACCAGTACCCGAACATCCATCATTAGAAGAAGTTTATGAAGAAACACCTTTTTCAGAAGCATTCTGGACCTATTTGAATTATGTTATGTTAAATATATTTGGTTGGTTTCGTGATCTGCTTCGAAATGCTCGAATTGAAAATAGAAAAGGCTCAGCAGAAAATAATCCAACGGTAATGAATAAATCTTCTTTTAAAAGAGAATATTTTACAGTCGCTTGGAAACTATCGTTGATACTGAAATGAAATTATTTCTGTCAATGTCATTAAACTAACAGATGTAGTATATATGGTGTGCCCAACGTAAATATAAATCAAAACAGTGCTGGATTGATACAATAGTGTACTACTTGCAGAGAAATCGTTTAGAAATCTAGACGTATTAAGTGTTGCTTTTAAATTAATTGATCTAATTAAAATATTACCTAGATTCGTTTTTGAAAAATATTTAGCAATATCAGTGCGAGAAAAAAAACCTATTCTTCTTTACTAAGATTTATAAACTAGAACCAATTAATTTTTTGTTTTCAAAGTATAGAGTTGAAAGTTTTAATAATAATGAGAACAGTGATATTTAAGCCTAGTACTAATAATGAAAGTATTTTTCTCTTTCCTGTCGACTGCATAGAAACAATGAATGCATCGTTAACTGATGCAACAATGTATGACACCTTCAGGGAAATCATATGTAAGCCATCCATCAACTATAAAGTATATTCATTGTCCCACAAGCGATATTATTAGAGTTTCTGAAGTTGAGTCTAATGAGAAATCTCATATGATCAGTCAGTTTAAGCACAGTTCTAAACATTTATTTCTATTTAGGGTTTTGTTCCACTTTATCAAAGTTATGAAAGTTTTTATACTCGTAATGTTTACCAACGTATATCCGATTGTTTTAATCGACCCATTGGTAGTGTACCAGGTGGCAAACTTGATGTTCTCGAACGTGTTACTGATGATTACAATTGGTCATTTCAGTAATTAATATTTTCTACAAATCAAATATTTTTCTATTGTTGATTCATGATTATCCTTGCCATTTTAGGTTTACGGGTAATAAAATAACATCGATCAATCTTGGTTCATACAATTATCTTGGTTTTGCAAATAATAGTGGGCACATAGCAGAAAATGTGATTAATACAATAAAGACTGGTGGTATTGCAACAGCAAGTACTACACAAGAGTTTGGTAAGTAGATTTTTTGCTTACAAATAAATTATGCTGTATGTCACTAACCATACTGACTAATTAACCATTGGTGTTTCTTTCTATATGTCTCACATTGTTTCACTAACTTGTCCAGGCACACTAATGCAACACCAAAAGCTTGAATCTCTACTTGCTGAATTTTTGGGTACTGAAGATGCTATCGCATTTGGTATGGGATTTGCAACAAATGCTCTCAACATACCATCATTGGTCGGAAAGGTATATTTACTGATATTCAAAATATTAATCTTTTTCTTTTGTTACCTATAAGTAAATAACAAATGAAATTTATTATGAAGCAATTATGTAAACACCTATACATGTTTGTTTTCATTTTCTTTAAGGGTTGTCTTATATTGAGTGATGAACTTAATCATACATCACTAGTTCTTGGTTCTCGTCTATCGGGTGCTACAATTAAAGTTTATAAACATAATGGTTAGATTATTATTGAAATTATTTTCTTTGTTTTACTAATTTAATTGTTTTAGATATGATTCATTTGGAAAAACTATTGCGAGATGCGATTGTATCTGGCCAGCCACGAACCCATCGGCCATGGAGAAAGATTTTGATGATTGTTGAAGGAGTGTACAGGTTTGTTTAAAAAAACAATAAGTTCAACTGGATCATAATTTATTTTTGAAAAACATAATTTTAGTATGGAAGGCTCATTGTGTAAATTACCAGAATTGATTGAACTTAAAAAGAAATATAAAGCATATCTTTATTTGGACGAAGCACATTCTATTGGTGCAATGGGTTCGCGTGGTCGTGGTGTTGTAGATTATTGGAAATGTGATTTTAAGGATGTTGATGTACTTATGGGTACGTTTACAAAAAGTTTTGCAGCAGCTGGTGGTTATATTGCTGGCAACAAGGTACAGCAAAAGAACATATTTTATAGTAAAATAAAATATTTTTATTCATTTTAACAAAGGATTTAATTAGTCATATTCGAACAACATCACATGGCACGGCTTATGCAACATCAATGAGTCCACCTGTTGTCGAACAAATTACTTCAGTACTTCATTTATTACTCGATGACAATGAAGAGCATGAAGGTTTGTTTGTGAGAATAAGAAAATCCTATTTGTGTCTAATTATGATAAAATGCAGGTCATCGACGCATCAGCCAATTGGCATGGAACACGCGTTATTTTCGACAACGTCTTACAAAAATGGGTTTCATTGTCTATGGTCATCCGCATTCACCTGTTGTGCCAGCTTTATTGTATAGTCCATCGAAAATTGCGTATGTATAAAAATATCTTTAATACAAAATTTTCATCGAAGCTTAGTTATTATTTTTTTGTTTTGTTTAGAGCATTTAATCGTGAAATGTTAAAACGTGGTGTTGCCGTTGTTACTGTTGGTTTTCCAGCTACACCATTAGTACTTGGTCGTGTTCGTTTTTGCCTTTCAGCATCTCATACTAAAGAAATGCTTGATGAAGTATGTTCACATTAAGGGCTATTTTATTTTTAATTACTTTGACTTTTTTTCATCATTTAGGTACTTAAACATGCTGAAGAAGTAGGTGATTTACTCAATATGCGTAAATCGAAATTAAATCCGAAGCGACCATTTCATGAAACAGAAGTATAAACTGATGTAACTTGTATGAACTGTCATAAACAACGAATTTTTATATCATGAATGCAATATGAATATAAAAACATCTATATTCTCTTTACTTTTCTCGTTTTTCTCTTGCTGAAAGCGCTTTGAGCAATTACAGCTATCCAGTTCAATCTTTTGTTTTTGCTATTTCTCTTTAATGTGGTTCTATTGATTCAGATCTATTGCATTTAAAAGTATTCGAATGAAAAATTTTCAACAAAAAGAAAACGAATGACATCTATATGTTGTGTTGAGCGTTGTGAAATGATCTTTCTTTCTTTTCTTTTTTTCTTTCCTTTTCCCCTTTCATATTCAAACAATCGTTCCATGTTAGTATTCTTTCTATTACAGATTGTAAACTTATGATTATTGTTCTTTTTTTTCTTGCGTTTGATGTTTCGCGAAAGACAATATGAACTATTTGTAATAGAAGATATTGATACATTAAGCTTCTTTATTGTTGTTCTGTCATTGAAATATATACATGCATATATAACCTATATAAATAACTCATAGTGTTTGAGAAAAACAATTTCTTATTTTAAATACTGCAGAAACGACTCAATAAATTCATTTGATTATTTAGAGAAATTTTTTTTATAATGACTGCTGATGCTGTTGATATTTATGATCATGATCCTGTTTATTTTTCATTAAATGAATTCGAACAGCATGAACAAGTTAAACAATTAATCGATCAAATAGGATCCATTGATAATCAAAGCGTAGAAACGGTCAATACAAATGAACAAACTGACGTCGAACTTATCTATGATCAATTTCAATATATTCTTAATCAATATCAAGAACAACCACAATTACTTGATTCATATTTACCAAATATGATACTTAGATTACTTAATTATATTGAACACGGTCCAAATAAAAATCATATAGCTGGCTCACTTCTTCATCACATTATAAAAGTTCGTGGTTTCAAAGTAATGACAACGCGTTTTTTACCTCATGAACCTCATCATTTGATTGTTGTAATCAAATTAATTGACCGCGAACTAGAAGAAAATTCGTCATCTGAAAATGCATGGGCAACACTTTATTCGTTATTTGTTTGGCTTGGAACAACATGCATGGTGCCGCTTGATTTATGTCGATTTGATTCAAAATCTAGTAAACAAACAACTATGGTACAAATATTAAATATATATAAACGTTTTCTATACAATTCCGTTTATATGCGTATGGTTGCATTTAATATTGGTCATTTTATGTCTCGTCAAGATTCAATACGTCTTTTATGTTTAAATGATTATTTAACCGGTGAAATTTTTCCGATACTTGAAAAGTATGATGATAAAATAAATGATGAAAATATTATTTTACGCATTACTGCATCTTTACAAACAGTATCATATATATTTAAATTTGGACAACGCTTAAATTTAATTATATATGTCGAGTCATTATATAATGTTTTAATTGATAAAAAAATTTTAAATGCTAGACGTATTGTTATACGACGTATGGCATATAAATTATTACAAAAGCTTGCTATGATTCTATTGCCTATGCCTAAACATGGTGCAGCATGGAGATATCGTCGGGGTGTTAGAAATCTTCTTGATTCGTTAACATTAAAGAAAAATACATCCACCGCTACAACAATGACGACGACGACGACGACGACGACACTGTATGTTGATTTTGTTTCAGTTAAAGAATATTTGATGCATAAAACGAATAAAATTTAGCATTTCGAGAATAGAAGAAAGTTAGTTTTAAATCGGCATTATTAAAAATGTTGAAATAAATGTAAATATTCCTTCAGAAGAATTATATAAAAAATTAATTCGATGCTGATTATTGTTCATGTATCGAATTACATAGTGTACAGATGCATACCTTCTCTCACACATACTGCGGCAGATATCATAGAAATTACTGTTTTTTCTCCATTACATTCGATACCGATATATGTGCAAAGCTCGTAAACCGATAGCAACGCGTTATCAGAGACCACCTGTTTGTCTATTAATTATATGTCGGAAAAATAATGGCAAAGAAATATGTTCTAAAATAGATAGAATCGTTCTGTGATGAGCAATTGTAGTTACATTATGTTGAATATTTTGATTCTGTAGAGATTTTCGGTATCACAATATTTTTACGCTCGATAGCCTTTATCATGGACAAATTTTTCCGTTCTAATTGATTGATTGATTTCATTTAAAAATCTTACACACAGTGAAATGAAAAATAGGAGAACAATGAATGTCTGAGTTATTATTTTTTGAAAAGTTAATTTTAATTCATAATTTTTTAGTAAATCATCTTCAACACTAAATGGACACAAACATGAAACTAACCAAGATGGTGAAAACGACAATGCGGAAGATAATAGCAATGTTCCATCAACAGTTGAATCTATTATTGATTTACTTATGGCAGGTTTAAGTGATAAAGAATTATATGTTCGATGGTCATCAGCAAAGGGTTTAGGTCGTATAACAAATCGTTTACGTAAATCATATGCTGCTCAATTAGTATCCCATTTATGTGATCGTATATCAACAGTTGCGCTTCTTTCCTGTGATCATTATGCTCTACAAGGAGGATGTTTAGCATTAGCTGAACTTGCTCGACGTGGACTTCTGTTACCAGAACGCCTTGCTTCTGTTATGCCCATTGTACATAAATCACTCAATTATGATGAAAAACTGGGCCATCAAACATATGGACATATCGTACGTGATGCAGCTTGTTATGTAAGTTTGCTTTTATAAAACTTATAATTTCATGAATGTAAATATGTAAATCAATCTGTTCAAAGGTTTGTTGGTCATTTGCACGTGCTTTTGATACAATTGATTTCCGTTCGTATACAGCTGACTTAGCTGGTATGCTACTATGTATAATTTGTTTCGATTGGAATGTTCAATGTCGTCGAGCAGCATCAGCTGCCCTACAAGAGAATGTTGGCCGACAAGGAGAATATTTTCCACATGGAATAGATATTATTCAACAAACTGATTATAATCTTATTGGAAAATTCGATTATTGTTTTTTAACTTTAGCATTTGCATTAATCAAATATTATGATATATATGGCAGATATATGATTGAACATTTATTAAAATATAAAATAATACATTGGAAAAAAGAAACACGTCTATTAACAAGTCAACTTTTAGAAAAAACGTCTTCAACTTATGGAACAATTGAAGAAATTTATGAAACGATCCTATTACCTGTATTGGATCGATGTTTAGATAAAAAGAACGATGGCATTGCAAGACATGGCCTTCTTGCCAGTTGTGGTCATATTGTCTATGGACTTTATCAACGTTTTCAAAAAGTATGAAAAATAAATCAGCAAACTTATTGTATTTGAATTCTTTTTGTTGATTTTTAGAATCCGAATGAATGCCAACGTTTATCAGAGTTACGAGAAAATCTGCAAAATAAAATCGCTAATTTATTGAATGAATATAGATTGCAAGGTTATCTTGAAGGTTATTCAGGTGATCTTATTCGACCGTCACTTTGTTCTTTTATTGAAAATATATCACGATCAATTGATTATTTTCGACAGAATACAGATGATATCTGTTTATCAAACGAAACAATTGATTGCTGGCAAACAATTATCGATGAATGTATTAGTAATTTAGATGATGATGTTAGACAAGCTGGTTTAAATGCACTTAAAGCTTTTTCGAATGCATTCTATTCAAATAGCAAGTAAGTCTATATTAAACAGATTTAACAGAAACTTTTATCGAACTCAATTCGAGAACAATAATATTTGAAATATTGATTGTATGCTTCATCGAGATGAGTAGAAGAAAACTATTCGTTGACTTCATATTTTCAAATATTTCTTTCTTAGATTTATGTGAGTCATAGAAATTACGAGATGTTTTTTCAATTTCTTTGCTACGACCCGTTTGATAGTCGCGAAACCTCTTTTTGCTTCATGTACTCTTGTTCTATTTGAATGAAAAGAATAAATAAGAAGAGTATCTAAAAATTAGATGCTTCTTTTAATTGAATCTATACGTGATAGAAAATCAGGCGTAGATCAAATTTTAAAAACAAAAACAAAAATAGTATTCTAACTACTCTTTCTATGATAACTATAAGAAATTTTGACTTTGATCCAACGAATGAATATCTGCTGTCATCAGAAAGAATTATTATTACAAATAGATTAATGCTGCTGGTAACTTCTTCGAAATCTTCATATGACTTAAAGATGAGATTAGTCATAAATAATCTGTTCGGCCAGCTGTTATGGTAACTAGAAAAAAATACGAATCCCAAAGATACATTCTTATTAGTAATCGAGTTTTTCAGTAAATTTTTCGGAAAACAAACTATTTTTTGTATGTGAATAAATTATGTTTAACTTGGTTACGTTTTTATTTTTTTAGTTCATCTCATTTGATTGATCGTTATCTCGGAAAAATCTCTATAACTTCTCAAGAACACATTCGACAAGGTTTTTCTTTAGCTGTTGCATCACTTCCATCTCAAATGTTATTAGGAAGTAAAACGATCGATAAAATTCTCGATTGTTTATTTAAATTAATCACAATAACAAATCAAAGTCAACATTTAATTAAACAACGTAAAGATTCACTTATTGCTCTGTGTGATCTCTATGAAAATACTCATTTTCATTTATCATCGCCATTCTCTAATCAAACATTAGTAAATAAATTAATCAATTCATTTCTTCGTTGTACACGCGATTATACAAATGACCGCTTTGGTGATTCAGGTCGTCTCGTGCGTGAAAAAGCTTGTTCACAATTAGTTCGTTTACTTCAATTAATTAATGAAAATTCTCAAACTAAAAGCTTTCTCACGTTGACTATACTTCAAAATTGTTTTTGTGCAATTTTAACAAATTTATGTTCAAAAATTGATGATTTACGAATGAACAGTGGCGAATCCATAATAAAATTTTTAAATATTCCATTTGAAGAAAAAATTGCACATAAAAATGAATTAAACACAATATTTCTTAATCAAAATGATATTGATTGGCGTAATAGTCAAATAGTTTTTACTATGATTGTTCAATTATTAATTTATGATAAATATCGTTATGTTATTTGGTCGAATTGTTTAATAACAGCAGGTGATTTATCAAATGCAAGTCAAGCATTATATACATTTTTAAAAACAAACAAGTCCAATGATTATCTAATTAATTTACTTTTAAATGATTTAGAAAAAATTTTCAGCGATCAACGTATACAAATGCGCGTTATTATTCCATCTATTCAAGCGTGTGAACGTCTTTTATCTCAATCGACATTTGAAAATTATTATGAAAAACATTCCAAACAACTTATTCAACATTGGACAAATATTATACAATCATTAGAAGATATACTAACTAAAAAACTACAAACTATTAATAATAATCCAACATTATATTTACATTTTATTAAATTATATTGTTCATTATTACAATTTAATAATATTGAATTGAAAAATTTAGTATTGAAGTTATTAACAAAATTTTTTCTTCACAATTATCCATGGGTAAGGCGACAGGCTGCTCAAAATTTATATGATACATGTATTCTGTTTAATGATGATTTACTTCTTGGTGATGACGAAGATAAATCTGAACAAGTTATGAACTTGTTAACTGAAACTGATTGGGAACAAAATTTAGATGAATTAACAAAGATTCGACAGACATTACTCAATTTATTCCATATAGAGTGAAGAAGAGTATATTTGATACTGATTGATGTTTTCTTTTTATGTGGTAGATCTGATCTTTGCGTTCTAGTTTGTCTTTTGCACAAGTTTATCAGTGTATTTCCATTTTCTGGTGTATGTGATCATTCGAGAACTTTTTCTCTCCTTTCATTGCTAAGCAACTGTTTGACGTATAGAAGAATGTGTTTTTTTTTCGATCAATAAAATAAAATATACGACAAAGATATTTATGAATTTTTCAATGATAAATATGCGGAGACATTGGCTTTCTTTACTAAGAAATGAAACGCTTGCATTTTCATATTAAATTTGATTGTTGAGAAAATAAGAATTTCAACGTTGGGATTTCTCGCAAAAAAATAATTTTATTTTTGTGAAATATAACCCAGCAGAAGGTTCAATAGATCAATGTCATTTCTAAAACGAATATGAAGTGTAGCTCTAGATGACAGAGCTCTCTGGTGCACAGTTTCTTAGAAACACGAGAGTAAGGTAGAGAAAATCAAAATTCATGTGACTAGATGGCGTGAGTGATTGTAAATAACAATGAAACAGAAATAGAATAGTTGAGTGTAGATGTATAAGAAGAAAAAATGAAAGTTATGAGTATCCTTCATAAAACTAAGAGTGTGATGAAGAGAGGAACTGCGTCTGTCAACAATGGCCAATGAAAAAAAAAGAATTACTATCATTAAGTAGGAAACATTTTAGTTAAAGTTGAAACCTATATACGTGAATTAAGTGCATAGTAAATGCAGACAAAACCCAATCATGATATGTGTAAATGTATATATAACATGAAGAATGTGAACACATACTTGATGGCTAATTTCGTCAGGGATTCGGGACCGCTTCAAGACAAACAACTGTTAATCAATTGTTCATTTTATGATTGCTCATGCTACGATACAAGTACCTGCCTTCAGACATAGCTATTTAATTGTTGTACCCTAATGCTGATCGACATCTTAGTAGTGAATTCATAATTTCATATTAAAAGTTCTATTGCTGGCGTTTTAATAAAAAAAAAATAAAGATTTGATTTATATATAATGAGACTTCTTCATATATGGCTAATATTGCTTCTGTATTCAAAAACGATTAAGTTAAACAAAAGAATGACGTAAAACTTTGTCTTCAAAGAGATACAATAAAATTATGTTCTTGAAAATAGCTCCTTTAATAAAAGCATACTTCTCATTTTAATCTCACAGCTATAGTCTAAAAGTCACCTTCTTCATGTATTATATTCGATAGTATAATAAATGTATGTTTCTTCTTGAATATCATTGTTTAGAAAACAAAACCTATTCTAATACTAACCAATCTAATGTTTTGATACCATGATGGAAAGTTCATTTATTTCCTTATGTATAACTCTGCCTTATTTTCAGTCACTCATTATAAATTCGTAACTTATCAACAGAAGGGTCATACTCATATCAGACGCCTGTATAACAAATGCAATAAATTTTTGAAACAGTATTCGTTCAATTTATATAACTATCGAAATATGAAAGATTTTCTATCATTCTAATACCTTGCTAGTGAGCGTCGTCGCTCATATTAATACGTATGTAATGCATTCTTGAGATAGTAACAAAAACATTGTTAGATATATCTTGATTTTTTTATTGAATGAAATATGAAGTAAATAGAGATTGGATACATAAAAAGCTCAAAGTTTGCTAATGTCAATTGAATAAGCAAGAAGACAGAAAAACTCTATTTAAAACCTCTAAATAAATTTATAGTCTTTATATGTCGATAATTTATTTTTTCTTTTTTTCATCACTATCATCGTCATCACCATCTTGACTTTCTGCGTCATACATTTGGCGAAGTTCTAGCATTAGTTCTCTTTTGAAGCTTTCTTTTTGACATTTTGTTTGTATGTCAGTTTTAGTCGCGCCATATCCTGCTACATTGGAAGCATATTTGCCACTACTTATAATATAACTATTAGAAGATGACCATGTTAAACCATTTCTTCTGATTGTATCTAAGAAACATTTAGCTTCAGATAATACCGATGGATCTTAATATAAGGGGAAACAAAACAAGTATAGAAATCTTATTGGAGTTTAGTTTCTAAATCATTGCATACTTCTGGACAAACATAATTTATTGCACAGAATTCCATTTTGTTCATCACGTAGTTCGAATTGAAAAGCCTGACCAATAACTATATCCTCATCGCCAAAAGGAGCTCTGCTACTTGGATTAGGTAATTGATAATAAGAACCTTTAACAAACACATGTACTTTACAGTCTTTAGCTGCTTTTTCTATCTGTTTAAGACTATCTTCAAAATCTTTATGAACTAATAATGGATCGCCTGTTATTATTTTGCCTGGTTTGTGTTTTTTTATCGGACACTTTGCTACAAAATATAATGAATAATACGATAAAATAATCAAATAACAGAAGAATCTTACATGAAGAAAATAAAAATCCTTCTGCCACTAGCACTAAGCAAAATAAAATTACGGCAATATAACCTTGCATTTTCGTAACCTAGATTATTAAGATGTACGCAATTGTCATATGTGCTCTCCTTTATATAGTTTTTTTTTCTTTAGGATTTTATTTAATAAACTGTGAATAGACTCGATCTTATGTTTGATATTCATACAATTTATGATTCGTTCTGTTTGAATCATTGTTTGCTTTAACATGGTTACATATTATTTTTAATAATTTTAGTATCAACATGAGTGTAGCCTTTTCATATATACTATTCATCTGGAAGCCGCGTATAGCTCTAACTCAAACATATTATTCACCAGTAGCACCATAAATTTTGTGAGCGTGATAAATTCGTAAAAATAACAAGAAAAATAAATAGATATTTAATAAAGCGATATTCAATGTTTGCCGATATTCGACGTTGTGCTATATCAATAATTCCTTAAAAATAATTGACCTTCAGAATGTATTGTACAATTATTGAAAATTGATATTTGTCTTCTAGTCATGAAGAGATTTTAAAGTGATGTATGATTCGCTAGATCTGTATCGGTTTTACAAATCAAACGGTACTTTCTTCATATGATAAATTCATAAACGTAAATACATGGATAGATTGTATTTTATCGTTTCACGTCAAATACATGGATTTCAAAATAAAATCTCAAAAGCAAATGTGGTAGTGAGTTGTATTCGATTTGTAACTATAAATACAAAATATACTTTTGCAATAGCTTGATTTAGTTTAAAAAAAAACAATAGTAAATCAAATGCGTACACAAACATGAATTCAATCAAATATGGCACATTCTCTGCATGAAAGAAAGATGACTCACATACTCTCAAACACTTAAGAAAGGAAAACTGGCGGAAATATCGTTTTAATTAATTTTATTTCTATAGATCATCAATCGTTAGACGTGCTATTATAAGATATGATAATTTCCATTGATATACAATTGATTAAATATTGATTGGAAACAATCGATTCCAATAGATTGTATCAAGAACATTGATCAATTCAAGTATCAATGGTGCTTTTGAAATTTTTATGTACATCAATATTTGAATTAATAGTGTGTACTAAAATGGTTGTATAATTACAATTGAATTTGCAATTATAGTGAAGGATATAAGTGAGTAGAAGAATAGTATACAGTCGGCAGTTGCACAACTACCTTTATGATACTTTCACAGAATAGAAAATTAGGAAAATGAAACATCTACAAACTTCTGACCATTGTCAAGATAAAAATATTGCCTAAAATTTAATAATAGAGACGTTAATCAAATATGATGTTGCTCATAATATTGAAAATATTTTTTATAAGAAGAAACATCTGGCTGCTTATGATGTGCTAATCGAAGATATTAACATAAATGATACATCATTGAAATATTTTAATGTTTTTGAAAATCTACAAGAGCATAATCTCTCTACTGACGACGTCTTGTCATCTATGGTAGTCGATGCATATTTAAAAATCGGTATGCTTTCGAGATGCCAACATATTCTTGATTGGTGTTCTTTTGAATATTCTGAATAGAAAACAAATACAAAACGGATTGCTGCATAGGCGAGTAAATATTGATTTTAGACATTCATTCAATGGGCCCTCTTATTCATCATTTTATACTTTGTCATATAGACCAAAATAGGTGGCTCAATTGAAAAATAAATACATGTTTATAAATCAGTTTGTAATCGTTACATACTGACAAGCAATACAATGAGTAGCATATAACTACTTCTCTCCAAATTTGGTTTCAATTAGTGAGAATTGTTTTTGACGTTAATGCATTTGTAATTACATAATGCAATACATTCTGACGCTACTGAATTATATGAATAGAGATGCGGTATAATTTGCGCTATGAAATTTTACATATTTTCATTGGAAATGTCTTTTCTAATTCCGGTCTTTTTTTTCTAGTTCAGATGATTTACAATGACGCTTTTATCCACGACAAAAAGCAATCATCAATATTATGACTTGCAAGAAAAGCTACGCCAATTGTTGTTATGTATAGTTAGCATGTGTTTTTTCATGCGACTATATTGATACAATGTTGATAGGTTCTTATTTCAAATAGATTTGTTGTCTAATGTTTGTGATAGTTGCCATCGTATTTTATTCTCAAAGATGTCTAAAACAATGGATATTTGATTTCCTGATCAAAAAAACAAAATGTTCTATTGAGCTATAGCTATTCTTTGAAATATATATTAATCTTTTGGTGAATAATCAGAAGCAAAAGACGATTGATTTAACGAAATAAAAAAAAAGTGAAATTCAAAACAGGACTATCTGAAACTAAATCACAAATTAGTTTTACATTTATTTTATTAAACATGAGATATAAAGAAAATTTCGTAACTTTTCTTGAGCAGTTCAAAACTTATAATTATTCTCATGCTCGATCATTATAAAGCCATGATAAATTTGATTGATTACCATTTGATTTGATCAAACATGATCATCAGTTTAATTTTTTCCAAATAACTTATGAAATTCACGCGAAGAACAAACTATTGAATATTTGTTCTATGCGATCATATTGAAAGATTATCAACTGTTTTTTATTTCATCTAATGACTTATTTTTATGCGAAAAACTAAAGATTTCGGTGTGCAAATCATAATCTTCGTAAGCTAGGATTTTCATGATTCCCTGACTAGTAATATATTCTAGTTTTTTCCATTTGAGATCGAGTTACAAAGTTCATAGCATTAATTCTTGACAAATTGTTGATAGCGTTCGTATTGCTGAGAATATCGAATCTTGTTATTCTAGCATGCACTCTCCTGGAAAGGTCATTTCTTTGTTAATTTTGTGGTGAATTTAATGAACATAGAAGTTTCCTCCTGCGAACATGTTCATGTTTATTTTATCAATAGAAACTTTCATAGAAACACAGCTATTTAACCAAGGGTGTACCTACGAGTTTTGAGTTTGTGATTTAAAATGAGTTTGGTGATTTATTTTGAGTTTCAGCTGAGTTCAATGGATTTTTTCTCCCTTGCAACCAGATCTGTTTTATCTTACATATTCAGAATGTTGTCGATTGTAAAATAAACTCTATTCAGTTGCATATAAGTCTATTTCAAACAGAAAATCAAAAGTCGAGATAATTCTTCTGACTTGTCAATGGAAGTATGTACGCAGTTTCTACGATGATTCAGGAGTCTTTTGTTGTTTTCTTTTGATTAGTAAGTTAAAAATATTTAGTAAACTTTTTCAAGGAAAAAAACAAATGCAAAATGTCACTCTGAGAAGAATAGTGTGTATGAAATATAGAACTCGAAGTTGATACCTATTTGCTGTCAGTAGCTCATATTTCTGTCAATTCAAATATGAATACAACACGTAATTTTTATTTTGAAATAATACCAGGAAAGCAATAACAATTACACATGAAGTTTTACTGTTCATATATGTTTCAGTCCGGATCATAGATTTCTGTTAAAATCAATTTTCAAAGTGTAAGAAACTTCATTAACAAAGTTTCGCAATGATATTTCTACTTGGTAAATTCTTGGTATTGCAAGTACTATTTGCGAACGTAAGAAATATATTTTAATGATAATGATATGATTACTAAAGACAGGGACAACATAAAAATTTTGTTTCCTCTTTTGTTTCCAGGAATCTAAATATATCTTTACTTTAGCAATGCTTTTGAAATCAGCCATGGTAATGTCAACAAGACTAAATTTTGATTTTGCGACTAATCATATCTTAATCAGGCTAGCAGTGAAAGTCTGCAATTGTTAATGATTAGAACAAAAAATATATAGAGAAGTTGTACAAACTTCCTAATAGTCATATGAATTGAAATCAGTCGAATATCCAAGCGCAGAGAAATACTGTGATCAAATCGATCGAACTAAAACGCACATATTCCTTTTTATTATAGAAAAATTTTTTAAGAAACGCACTGCCAAGAAAGTTTGTATTGAGTTTTACTTTTCTTTTTGTTTTAACAGTTCAAATAGAATCGTAATTATTCTGCTACACTCAAAAAAAAACTCATCTTAACTCGAGTAATTGTTTCAGATAGATAATTAAAATAGGAAAAGCGACACACATACACACACAATATTTTGTGCCGTAACAGGAAAAAAGCCATCCAGAACGAAAACATAACCGAAAAAACGCATCAGTAGTAGCAGAAATATAGAGTTGAATATATGTACTATATATGAAAAGATAGACAACAAAACGGAAGATAGGTATTGAAATTTAGAAAATAGAATTCTCAAATCACAAGGCATTGAGGTTTTTAACATCTTGATTTTCTTTATTATTATTATTACTCTCATGCTCAATATCTTGTCCGTTATTTATTTGTTGTTCATCTTGAATTTTATTTTGAACTTGTCGATATCGTTCACGATTACCTATACGATAATTATTATTGTTATTCAATTTTATCAGTGCAGGATCATTCATCAAAGGGCTATCATTGATTTCAACATTATCTTGTTTCATAGCATTCGAAAGAATAGCAGCATTAGGTGGTGGATTGTTGTTATCCAGTTGTTCTTCATCGTCATTCTCGTTATCTGCATCATCCATAGATTTCATATTTTTATTATCAGATATTGAATTATTCAATGATCGTTGTAACTAGAAAAGAAAGCAATTCAACAAAAATAAAATCCACACTTAATATTCTCTTACACGCTGTTGATATTGTGAGTTATCTGCTGCTGCTGCTGCTGCTGCTGCTTGGTCTAAAAGATTATGCATATTCTAAATATTTCTCTACCTTCAATAAAAAAATTGAGGTTACGCTAAGTATACTCAAATCACATGAAGTTTTCAGTCGTATACCACTATGTTCTCGAAGCATGTTGTACAAAAAACTTGAGTAAAAATAGCTCATTTAATACTCCGACAATTCTCTATCGGTATTTTTTGTTTTGAACTCTTATTTCTTTACACAGCGAAGAATTATGGCAAGCGCAATACTTTGAAAAACTCCCGATGATAAAATTATCTGTTCATAAAAGTACTTCTTTTATAGATTGACATGAAGAAAAAATGGATTCAATGTCAGACAGATTAACTTTACATACTCTTTCCAACAAGAAAAATCATAAGCAGATGAAAAACAAAAAAACAATACGGTTTTCCAATTGATTTTTAATGAAAATAGTATATTTTCTTGAGCACAAGTTAATAGACATAATCGCAACTATATGAATTTCTTTTATCTATGTACTAAGGTGTGATATGCATCAAATCTGAAAACAAAACCATTCAATGTTTATGATTAACTTACTTTCGTTATTGAGTTTGTTAGCAGATTGAGGTGCACCTTGAGCTGATTCAATTGGATCTGGTTGCTTTTGTGCATTATTAACAAGTGGTGGTGCTGGAACGTTTTGGCCAACGTTTTGTTGAAGTTTATTGTTATCAGCAAATTGCTGTTGTTCATTCGGCAATGTTGTAGTAGTTAATGGATTGGCATTAGCGCCAGCAATATTTGGAACTTTTTCTTGAAGGTCTAATCTGGTTGGAACTGCTTGTGGTTTTATTTCTTGTGTTAGATTGTTTAATTTATTCGAAGGATTTTGAAATAATGATGTAATACTCTTTGTTGTTGTATCGTTTAGTATAAATGGACGAAAACGTTGTTGAGGAATAATAAAATTATTTAATGATGGATTGTTCGATGCCGATTGATTGCTACGTAGGCGAATAGAATATGATGTAAAAATACGAGAAAATTTTAATTGATACTTACGATTGACTGTTCTTTAATGAATCATATTCTTGTTTTAATCGATTAAAATCATCACTTTTAGATTCTAAAATATTAAAATAATCTTCATTTTACAGAACAAAAAAAAATAACAACTACAAACGTTTTTCATCATTTAATTGTTGTTGTAATTTTTCAATCAATGAATTTTTTGAAGCTAGTGATTCACTCACTGATTTATAATCTTTCTAGTTAATGATAAAGAAAAAGAAATGACATAGAGAAATAATTTTGTTTGATTTGTTTTCGTAAACTTACTAATTGTTCATCAAGAACATTTTTGTCTGTTTTAAGGCTCTGAATTTCAGCTAATTTTTCGTTTAATTTAGTATTAAGATCATTCACTTCTGAATCTTTCTTTTCCATCTGTCTTTGAATGGTTAATTTTTCTTCTTCAAGTTCACGTTTACGTGAAATCATATTTTCAAGTTTTCTATCTACATCACTGTTTTTTATTGTTAACTAACAAATAAAAATATAATTGATAGATAAATATTTGAAAATTTTGTTTTTTTGATTTTTACCAGTCGAATGCGTTCTTCATATTGTTCTAAAGATAACCGTAGCTCATTATTTTTTGATGAACATGACATGTAGAAAAGACCGAGAAGAAGCATAATAATTACAAGACCAACAACAATGAAACTTGGTGTTCGAGTCGACATATTTTCTAATGAATTAAAAATGTTCGTTTCAAATGTAAATAATCTGAAAGATGAAAAAAAAAACGAAGAAAATATATTTGCTGTTGAATATGCCAGTCAATGAGATTCATTAAAAAGAAAGCAAATTCAAAATGGCGACGAAGTTTACTTTTGATATGTTAAACTCATATTGCGGTTGATGTCAATTTTCTATGAAGAAAACGAAAGGATGCCGTTTACAAGTACAATATGAAAAAGTAAGACAATAGTCGAACGAAGAAAAACACTAGGATATCGATTTTCGCTTCTTTTTCGTTCTGTTCCATCTGTTTCATCGAATGAAAAAGAAATATTACAAAACCATACTTAACAAGTACCATTTTCATCTTCAATTCCTTCAGTATACATTCATTATCATCATTTTTCGCTCCTATTTATCATTAAATATATGTGAAATGACTACTAAACTGTAATGTCAACGAAGTAATTAGAAATAGTGAAATTCTATCTTTCAAAAAAAGAACTGAACAGATCAAATAAGATAAATGCTTGTTTATCAATTCTATATTTGTTTTTAAAACACGAAGATATTCATTTTTTTCTATCTGTACGCATTGATTCAAGTATTGCTTTTAATTGTTTTCGTCGTTGATTAACAGATTCAGACGTCATACATTGACTAATTTCATTTATAAATTTTTCAAAAAGATCCTTATCAAGTTTTTGATCGTCGAATTTCTTTAGTATGCAATTTTCATAGATAAATCTTTTAAATTCTTCAACAATAACAATAACATATAATCCACAATCGAAAGCATTTTTTTGTTGTGGACAACGAGTATTGATTAAATTGATATTGTCATGAAAAAATGCTTGAAATTTTTTATGCATTTCTTTCGCTGTACGATCATTTGATAAGGACATTGAATCAAAATGATACAAAATTTTGTCTGAAGAAAATATTTTTATTAACTATATCAAAAATCCAAAATGAATCTTGTTTTCTTACTATCATACCTTGAATAGAAAGTATTAACAATGACCAATGTGAACCACCAAAAACTGCGACTTGTGTATTGTTATTGATTGGTAGAATAAGAAACTTCTTTTGAAGAAAATCGATCGATTGGAGAAGTTGCTCAGCAAATAAATTGTCACTCATTTTTATTAGTTGTACAACAGGCGGTGTAACAAATGCAAACAATAAATTGTCACTACTATGAATGTATTTTGATTCATATTGAAGATACTCAAAAGCAAATGTTATTATATTATCATCAAGCCAATTTGAATCATCAAGAGTTTTCAAATTTGATAAACGCACAATTGAATCATGATAACTTACAAGTATAGGATCAGATTCCGACGATGCAGAAGACATGCTTAATGTATTGTAAAGAAAAAAATGAAACCAAAATAAAAAAACGAGAAATTTTTCCTATCGACAAATACTGTCTAATCGATAGATGACGTTGTAAATCGACCAAAAAAACTTTTCGAAGATGTAAATAGACACGAAAGAATATATAGTATATATTGTATAGGCAGCTTTGTAAAAAATGTAACTGCCGATAAAAACAATAGATAATAGACCGTTAAATCGATTGCTTAATAGTTTTCATTCTTCGATTAGAAAGTATTCAAAACAAATTTACCATACGCATTCTAAAAGATTACAATAAATAGTAAGATGGTTAATTTTCTGAATTATGTAGAAGGAAACCGTTTTTTTTCTATGACTTTTAGTGTCAATACAATATAGTCAAACGAATCTTATTATTCCTGAACTTGATAATGATCCAGCTATTTTGAAAGTAAATATATATATATATATATATAGATGAAACTAAACAAACTGTTTTAAAAACCGTTTTTATTTATTCCACAGATTATTCATGATGGCGAAAAATTAGAACGGGAAACCTGTCGTAGGGAATTAATGCAACTATTAAAAATTCAACCACCGGTTACATCCGATTTGGATCAATCGATATCTCACACTACGAACAGTTCCGTTAATAATCAAGAAAGTATTCCAACGTCACCAGGTAGTACAACAGATATGGATCGTTCAAGTCAAATATGGATCAAACGAACAGTACCAATAACACCAAATTCAGGTTCATATCGTCGACAACACTATCGTTCAACACTTCATCAGCATTCATTGAATAGTAGTGGTGACAGTTTAACAAATCGCAGTTCAAATGATAGTCCAAAAAGTAGTAATCATAGTTATATGAAGCAAACACGATCCGATACAAATTTATCATCATCATCACCAATATCAATCAATAATAGAGCAAAGAGTAATATATCATTAACACCTTCGGGGGTTCTTGTAACCGATTATAGACAAACAACGACAATGAAACGTATCGTAAATCCGTAAGTTTATTTTCATTCATTTTTTTTATTTAATTTAATCGTTTTTTTATTACTCTAGGCAATGGAATATCATTCCTTTTGCATAGAATCAATGTTTTCTGTTGTTGTTTATTTTAATTTTATTATTGCAAACATCATTTGTTCATGTTCTACTATATATGTATTTGTGTGAGTATGTCAGATGCTTATTATATACATCCGATAAGATTATTAGAAAAACCAAATAAAAACTATGATTTTTTATTGCAGAAAAAAAACCTATGATTGTCTAAAGAAAAAGATATATTCGATTAAGCGTTTGCTGATGTTGAAATGTCTTGATCATCTTCATCTTCGCCTAATTCCATAACATTGCTATATGGACTATCTATAAAAGAAAACGAAGAATAATTAGTCATATTGTTTATGATATGATCTGACAAATATATTAGATAAAAACTGAATGCCTATTCAACGATCAATTATGACATAGTTAAAGCAATATTGACATAACCGATGTTTGGATAATAGAATTATCTCTGTGAAACTAGATATTTCATACTATTTGTAGAGTATACAATATGTCTGTATTGTTATCTTTATTGTTTTTTAATTTGAAAACCGTAAATGAGAATGATAGTTTCATGTGAGATCTTTTACTTTCAACTAAACTTAAATTTTATGGAAATGTTAATAGTATTTATTTTACAATCTATTAAAACAATTATCCGTTTTACTTGCCATATTCAAGACAATAATTATAAACATAGTAATAAATAAATCTTAGAAATCGATCTGGAAAGTTTCTAAAACTCCGTGATAATGAAGTTCGGATGGAAATTTACTATTTTAGACCTCGAATCAAATTTTATACGTATAATTACTTACTAAAATCAACAGGTAAGTGTACTGTAAATCGAGCGGGCTGTTTATTAATGGATGGTGTAGCATTACTTGATTGATTACTAGTATTATTCGATTGTTCAAGTACAATATATGTTTGATCATGTTCTTCATTCTTTAACTTCAAACCAATATCAAAGACTTTTTCAATAGAGTCAACCTATTAGAAGAGAAAAAGAACCGACAATCGTTTTGAAAAATAGATAAACAATAAATTCAAGCAAACTTCATCTGGATTGCCAACAAAAGGTGTACGCATATATTGTATTGATATATCTTCAAATAATTGTACTAGTCGTTCTCGTACAGATTCATATTGATGATAAGCACTTTCATCAAATGTACGATTTTCTTCATGGACACTCGAATCACGTGGTAGACCGGTTGTTAAACATCTTGTCAAGATATTTTGATTACTTTGAAATTGAATGAAAAGTTAAAGTTCATACTTACTTAACACAATTAAGAGAAAATTGTGTCAGAGAAGAAAATTCGAATATACGTGGATGATTAGGATCACCTATAGATATAGCAGCAATTGATTTAGCAATAGAATATTTTTCAAGACGTAATTTTGAAGGAAAATTTTCAATTGGTATTGCATCTGCTAATGTAACTATTTCAATATCGATTGGCAGTTCATAACGTATAAGTATTTCTGGTAATGTAAATAGATTTTCCATTGTATGTTTATGATAGGATTTATCGAATTCATTGTAGAGAATTTGTGTGGCAAAATGAAATGTATTCGCTGAATCAGTTGAATCAAGAAGAAATTCTTGATCATTTTTATCCACTAATACAAACATTTCTTTTCCATTTGTTATTGTGTTTGATTTTTCAATACGTTTTAATGTAACTTCTGTATTTTGCTTTATCACAACGGGTATTGTTTGATTTGTTGGTAATAATAATAGAGTATGTGTATCCTGAAGTACACGTATGTGATCTCGCGGCATTTTGAAACGTAATAATTCGAGAGCATTATGAAATTCCCACCAACGAGGTTTATATATTGGAGCCGCTGTTAATATTCGGCATTGACCTTGAAACCAATCTGGAACAATATATGTTCGATTATCTGGTACTAAAGATTTTGATACAATTAAATGTCGATCATGCATTGCTTGTAAATGAAATATATCATTTTTAACTAAATTTGTATCCCATGGTTGACTAATACGTATTATTTGAGGTAATTGAAAATATTCAATAAAATCATGAAATAAATATTCGCCATGTTCCCAATCAAATTGTTTTATTTCATCTACTATATCGTCGAGAGTATCTTTTTGAGTTATGGGTAAATGTAATGGAAACGATGTCATTGTGTTGAAAAAAATTTGCTCTTTTTGATTTCGTTTTCTTTTTTTTCTAAACAAATGAGAAAAGTACGAAAAACTTTTGGATTATGTATTTTTCGGTCGACTGCTCATGTACGTATATAGTTCGATACAGGTTTAGGTTGATGAGAAAAAGAGAAAAGAACAAAAGAATACCAAGTATAGTTATCTGCTATGGTGTATCGTCAGTCATCCGTTGACTAGATCATCATATCTATAAGTGTATGGGTTAAGCCCTCAAGTTTCAATGTCTATTATAGCATGCTCACTACCCGTGAATATTCAAGCACGAGCATGCTCCCCCTTTTCTTTTCTTTTTCTATGCGTAACTGTGTGATGCGTACAAATATATATATATATATATATGTGTGTGTGTGTGTGTGTGGTCAGACAGTTGACCGTTTCATTGTTTTATTTTTCATTTTACCAAAAAAAAGGTTCTCTGTCTCTCTTAAAGACAACATACCACACACACACGCGCACTTACAAACATAAAACATCATCAGACAACAGCAAAAAAGAGAGCGAGAGAAAAATCAAGAAACACACCAATCACAATGAACGTTTATCGGGCGTTTCAAGAAGATGAAAAAAAGTAAATAACTCAATAGCAGCAACAGAAGTAAAGAAACTCTGTACACAGATATATGGAAGAACTGTGATAGTGTTATTAGTTGTTTTCTTTTGAATACGCACACACATACAAAAATGACAACAGACAACGGCGAAAAATAATCACAAGAAGAAAAGAAAAACTTACATATACACACGCAAACATATAGTGGGAAGAAGAAAAAAGAACATCTATAGATATATATATATATATGTATATAAATAATGAACATCAATAATAACAACAACAACAACAACAACAACAATAATAATCAAGGATAGAGAACGACTAGAAAAAGAAACGAAAATGTTCATTTGACTAAAAAAAAAAAGAAAAGAAAACATAATTGAATATTTTTTTCATTTTAGTGTACTTTGTTGGAGGTATGAAACATTCAAAAAAAGGTTCTATCTGGCTACATATAAACTCGATATTTTACGGAATATGGCACAATGGAGTGTTTGATGTGTTGAACAAATAAATCACTCATTTATTGTAGCATTATCTATCTCATTGCGTTGATTACAATCTTCTATTTGATTTGTTTCATTTTCTTCTTCTTCTTCTTCTTCTTCATTTTGAGATTGCTGTTCTTGTTGTTGTTGTTGTTTATCTTCAAGATCTTCGTCTTCATTAAGTTCATCATCTTCCATAATCATATTTGGATTATCACTTAATCGACCTGTATCAACAGATGCGGCACCAGCGGCTGCTGCTGCTGCTGCCTCTGTTTGGTATGGACGACAATATTTATATCTATGATTCATATGTTGACTAAATGAACCTTTAAAATACAAAAAAATATTTTAATGAACTTTAACAACACAAAACATTCTTTTTGCTTTTGCTATTTACCTGAATGGCTAAAACGTTTAAAACATTTTGTACATTGAAACGGTTTTTCACCTGTATGTAAACGACGATGTTCAGCTAAATGATGTTTATGTTTAAATGCTTTTGTACAAACATCACATACAAATGGTCGAACACCTTAGAAAGAAAGAAACATGGAATAGTTCTTTTTTTATTTTAAATAAAATATTTCTTTTGGTACCTGAATGCTCATATTTATGTCGTGCTAATGAACTTTGCTTACTAAAACGTTTATCGCACATGTCACATGCATACATTTCGCCTTGAATATGATTTTTCCATGATTTTCTTTTACGCGTTAAATCATTATCCATTAATTGACCACATAAAGATGAAGATTCATCATTTGACAAAAGACTTGTTTCAGATGAACAATTATAAGCTGTGCTATCAGGACTAAATGATTCATTCTAAAATAATTCAAGAGAAAGATATTTAATAAAATAGTTTACATTTTTTGTTTTAAACAAAAATAAAATAATAATAAGACGTACTTTGATCCATTCATTTTTATTTTCATACCAATTTGTATCATTATTAAATGCAACTGTTGCAGTCATATGTAAATGAGCAGCTATTTGTTGTTCACCGGATTTCATGTGAGATTTTTTTACTGTTAAATCTAATGGTTCAGTTTGTTCTTTAGACGGAGTCGGATTTAATGATGAAAATGGAAGTGGTGGTGGTGGAGGTATCGATGAATTATTTGAAGCAGCAGCCATTAATGATGCACGTAAATGATAATAGGCAAGTGGTAAAAATGGTGCTGTTGCACTATTATTATTATTATTGCTAGTATTATTAACTTGATTGCCACCGGTTGATGTTGATGGAATGAATGTATTAGGAGATGATTTAATATTATTAGCTGCAGCATAACTCGTACGTAAAACATGAAACCAATGTTGAACATGTTGTTCACTAAGACCAACACGTTTTGATATTTCATGCAATTCATTTGCATTTGGATATGGATTTAAAGCATAATGTGCACGTAACATATTTAATTGCTGTTTATCAAGTAAATCATTTGCGGTTGTTGTTGATGATGATGAAGACAATAGTGAATTATCGTGATCATTTGATAATAGACTACGACGTTTACGTTTCCGTACAGGTGATGACATTGATGGAATTTCGCCAGCTTCAATTTCATGATTTAGATTATTATTTCTATCCGATGATGATGATGATGGTGGAGTTGCTAATGGTATTGATGGCCATGTTGATGGTGATGGACTACGAGAATGAGATTTCGGTGTTGATGAATATGAGTCTTTACGCTGTTGCTGCTGCTGTTGTTGAGCAGCGGCAGCAGCTAAAGCAGCCAATGCAAATGGACCAAAATTAAGCATTGAACGTGTAGCAAGTAAAGCAGCTACAGATGGATTTGTTGATTGTGGTACTTGTGTTGGTGATGAATGTAAACTATTATTCAATGCTGATTGAGGATATGCATAACATTTTTTTGATGTCATATGTGATGAATATGAACCCGAATGAGAAAAACGTTTACCACAATTAGCACAAACAAACGGTTTTTCACCTGTATGTATACGAACATGTTCCTAGATGATAGAGGAGAAGAAGAAAACAGATAGATCTTAGTTTTCTCTTTTTTTTATTTTGTTATTTTATAATTACTTTTAAATGATGTTTAAATTTAAATGCCTTCGAACAATGGGAACATTTAAATTTTCTAGTTTGTGGATCAACTTCATGACTTAACATATGACGTTGAAGACGATAAATATTAGCAAAAATTTTATTACATAAATGACATGCTACTTGACTTGCATTATGATTTAATTCATGTTGATGTAAATCATCCTATGTTACAAAGCAACAGATAAAACATGTATAAATATATTTCTTATCAAATTCTAAAAAACATACTTTATTCGTAAATACTGCATTACAATGAAGACAACTGATTAAATTCTCTGTTTGTTCAGGATGACATTGAGTTGTATGTAAATGTAAATGTGTTATTTGAAGAAATTCATCAGAACAATAAGGACATTTAAATGATTGTTGTTGATTGGACGAATTATTTTCTAGAAAAACGGAAGCAAAAGTAAGACAAATTAACCTTTTTTGATGTTGTAAGTTTCAATAGTTAAACTTATCATCCATCTGTCTATGATTTTAGTCATCTGATCACTTCAATAAAAAATGAAGAAAAAAAATTCCACTACATTCGTTGTTCACAGTGGGTGGGATGAGTAGACTTTCTCATGGCACATGGTCTCATTTGATGATCGATGATCTAGTTAGGTTTTTTTTTGTTTCTTTGTCTCTATGTGTGTCGGTAGTGTATGTCTATCAAAAGGGGATGGTCTCTCTCGATCACAATGGGGGTCACTACTTTTCTTTGTATCGGCATTTTTGTCTCATCTTTTGTCGTCACAGATCAACAGTCAATAAGAGGAAAATGCTCATGGGATATAATAATGATCAAACAGATGAACCTTCTGTTCAGCTAGTACTCATTATAGATAGAATTTCTTCTTTTATTTTTACTGGTGTTTCTTACCAGGTTCATCATCTTCTTCGTCAACTGTCATCGTTGTGCTGGGTAAAATATCTTCATCGAGGGCAATTTTTCTTGGATGTGAACTACTATCACATTCGTCATCATCTTGATAAGTAGAATCATTACCATTTTCATAAACTAAAATTTATAGAAAAAAAAAATTTAATTCATTTAATCTTTTTTTGTATAATTTAAATTTAAATTTTACCACGATCTACTTCCATCGCACCGATCATCGGCAATTGCATTTGAATTAAACAAACATATACATATATTTATATGTAATGTATTTTATTTTTCTCTGCTTTTATTTTTTGTTCAATCTAGAAAAATAAAAATAAAACATCAGGAGGTCTCCATTGCTATTATCCACCTGTTTTTAATGTAATTTGATCTTTTTTATTTTTCGCATTTCGATGTGAAAAAACAATGTTTTTTCGATTTATCAAAATCAACATAGACAGTGACATGCGGTGTTCAAAAACATGATGATATTAGTATGAACGACATCGAAGAAAAAAAAAAAAGAGAAGAGCCTACCACATACGACTAAATCAAATTTGTTACTTTGGTCGAGGAAGAGCAACAACAGTAATAGTCGTACCCTCTTGCCTAATCAATCTACGGACATGATGCGTTGTGCGCTAGATAGAGAGAGGAGAGAGAGAGACAGAGAAGATGCGAATGCGAACGCGCGCTCGCGCGTAGAAGACGTATTATTTTTACAAACTAACGTCATTACACGACCACCGACCGAACACTGATTTACATAAACAGACGACTGACTCTTCTTCCGTCCAACTGAGATAGAAAAGAAGCAAATGCAACACTGGAGTAATAAACATATTTAGATATATTTCGGATTGGTTCTCACCTGTTGATGTATGACAGGAGAAAAGAAGGTGATTCGTTCGTGTGACATTTTTCTATCTTACCTTGATAGCAAATGAAAAAAAACTACCT